TGGGTAATCGCATAGGTCTGTCTGTGAACCCTGCTAGTCTTTTGCAGCTAAATACTAGTAAGGACAAAAATCATGATTACCTAAGGAATCCCAGGTGCAACAGACTTTAAAGCAGAAGCTGTTTCGTCAGTCTCCTAATTTGAACATTGATTTGCTTCCCCTCAGCAAGGAGTAGAAACTCATCGCTTAAGAAAGTGCAACAACACAGCCAAGAAACAGCCACTATAGATGTCATGTACCAAATCCAAACAAGATTTCCTGAATTTAGAGAGCTCAGCAGTGACACACTTTAATCACGTTACGAGCACTCTGTTTTATTTCAGCGATGTGGAGGGGGGAAAAAATAAAAGCAGCAACCTGCAGAACTGAAAGTGAAACCCAGAGGAAGTCCCCAGCCCTGGCTCCCAGTGCCTTCCCTGCTTGCACCCCAGCTGCACAGAGGCTGCGTCTTCCCTCAATTCAGCAAGGTTTCCTTGGCAAGGAAAGCTGACAATAAGATCGCGGACACCACGGAGAGCTCCTGTCCAACATTGTAGAAACAGCTGATGGGACATAAAGGCACCAAGGGCCATTGTGAAGGTCATCGTATCAGCTGCTAAGCAAAGCTCTCACTTTCTAGTTATCAGCTGCCTACAGGTTTTCTTTTTTGTTCTTGAACCTAAAGCTTGACTTCTCGTCAGCCTAGCTGTGAGAAAGGGTATTTATGTAAATTACATTAGAAAACTATTTACAGCACATTTGTTCAGTCTTTCTCTTTAATTGCTACTTTTTTATTCTTATCAATTTTAATGCCAGCCTCTTAATGTAAAATTTCTTCTTTTTTATGATAGTATTCACCCCTTGCTTATTAATTCCTTCATACAAAAACTTCCAGCAATTTAAATGGTTGCTAATGTACCCAGGTAATGGTAGGAGCTGGTGCCTGCAGACTGTTTCTATTGCTAACTGTACCATACGCTCTTTTCTCTGAAACTGGAATCTGGAATATAAACACATACATAAGTTCATGATTTTGAGTAATTTTGCCTATCTGACTATGTCCAATGGTTTTCAGCCTGTCATCCGTAGACTTCTGGATTAATCCTCAGTGCATCTTAAAGCTGGCACACAGACATCTGCACATCTACTGGAAACTCTCAGGTCTTGAAATGTCAAGCAAAAGTTGAAAATAGCTGTTTTGGTGACTTTGAGCCTCCTGGCCACTTTAAGGCAGCATCATAAATGGTGCTGCTTAGATAAGTGATCTGACTCCCCTCTCTCTGCCCTCACTGTGTCTGCTGTGGCTGTCATGCCTGGGGACAGATCCTTGCATGATTTGATGAGCAGGAGCAGTCTCACAAAGGAGAAAGTTGTCCCAGGTAAAATCCTGGGAAAATTTCTATGGATTTTAGGGAGCCTGGAAGTCAGCTCGTGTGTAGGCAAAGAGCAGATTTCGATACAGTGGTAATATCTCTTCTGATACAAACAGCCTTTTAAGGTCACAGAGTGCAAGGTAGAAAGAAGTCAGGCCATGTGTGGACCACAGGTACTTTTAATTGTTACTCTTCTCTGTTAGTTAAAGTATGATACTTAGTTTGTTCATCATGTCAATTAAAAACTGGGAAAGGCAGCAAGAGGAGAGCCTTGGAAAATAAAAATACATACAGTGACTGCTAAAACACTCCTCAGAGGATGAATGTGGTATAAAATCTCTTGTGTTGGAGCTAAATGTACAGCAAAATAAAAGAAATCATCACTTCTGAAAGTGGCTTTCACTAATAATGTGTTAGTCCTTAAAGTGCACTTTATGGACAAGGCTTTTTAAAATAAGCTTTTAAATTTAGACCTGCAAACCTAAAAAAAGTTGCCTGACATTTAACAATGATCAGCCCTCAGAAGTTCCCAGTCAAGCATCTATTTCTGAAATTTTTGTTGTTTTCAGAATAATACCAGACATTTCTTTGTTTGCATAGCACTTCAAGGTATCATCTTCATCGTGTATGTGGAGAGATCTCGAACAGAAATTCTCCACTTAAACAGATTTGGGAGTTTCTGACCACCACATTGGTAGGGGTGAGTTATATCTCCGAGACACAAGGTCATGCCAAACTCCTGCAGGTGAGAAAACTACTGCTTTGCCAAGGGTCAGAGTGTTTTTCTTGGCCCTGTGCTCCAGCTCCCAGGGGGATCTATCAGATGTTCACAGTGAGGTCCCCTGACTAAACACCGGCACGTTGTGTTGCTCCATGCCAAAGGACATAACACGGTGTCCGTCACACAGTGCCCCGGTGTGGAGTTAGCTCCCAGGTGGCTGGAAAGCACGGGCACAGAGTGGGAGGAAAAGCGGTAAAACGTGAGCTGGATTTGATTATATTCTAATTTAGTAGGAAAGGCAGGGAATTAACCATGAAAACAAAAAAGGGGTCTTCAATGCCTGTTCCCAGGAGACAATAAAGGCAAGACTGAGCTAAAGTGTTTGTAGGAGAGAGAAAAAAACAGGAGAGTCTAGTCTCCAGGATGAGAGAGAAATGGGAAATTCAAAGCTGCAAGTTAGAGAAATGAGGAATCAGCAGCTGTGATCACTTGCTTAATTTGCAGTACCCTTACAGAAAGTAATAAATTAAGTTGCATTAGCTGTAAGGGTTAAATACTTTGTTTTCAAATATTTCTCACAATTTACCCATGCCTCCCACAGAAATGTATACGTTAGTCTGAGAAAAACTGATGTGTCTAAGGTTTGGAAAGGAAAAAGTAATTGTGATGAGATTTGACATCCTGAAGGGCTTGTTCTCTGATCAGGGAAGAAATGAAGTTTAAAAGAGATTTTCAACTGAAAATTTTAATTGGACCTCACTTTTAAAGTGTTTCAAATCCTCTCTGGGTACAATATAGTGCACACAAAAAAAGCCTGTGATATTTTGATGTTTGCTTATCTACACGCTGTCCCAAAGTATGACAGAACATGGTGTAAATTATGAATAGCACGTGGGCGTTCTGCTGTTGCACTGCAGGAGATGCGGTTAGAAGAAGATTTTAGAGTTCAGCATTTTGTGTCTGTCAGTGACAAACTAAGCCAAAGGAAAGGATCTGAATGTATGTCTGCAATTTATTCCTGCACAAGCCGTGGCTTGGTCTTCTGTGGGGCATTTTCTCTCTATCTTCTTGCTTTTGCAAGAGTGTAAGTGAAAGAGACTAAAAAGTCCAGCTGCAGTAACTTCATTGGCACAATGGGTTTTATCCATGTTGCTAGTATATTGAATACAATAGAAGCTACAGGTTTCCATTAGGAAACTGCAAGTAGTATTTTTCTTCTTATATTACTGCAGTTAAACACCCAAGCTATCAGTGTTTGCTTTGATCATCTAAGGAGAATCCATGCCTTATCTCCTTTAACAGTTAACTTTGCTCAGAAGGATAAACTGAATGGATATTGGTTTTCCTCCTTTTGAATCCCAGAACAGTATCCTTTAGAGGTCACTTTTTTGTTGTTTAAAATGTGTGATTAAAGTATTGTTGTTCCCAGGTGATTAATGATGGGAGGAGAGAGAGGCAAGCATGTAACACCTGGTAGAGTAAGTTTGTAAATGAACTGGAATGATTTGAGATAACAATAAATGACAGCTGTAAAAGTAAGAATTACTGATACTGAGAAAGAAAACATTAAATTGCATCCATTTAAACAATTATTAATTAAACTATTTCTGCATAGTATAATATGACTATTATAACATTCACACAATTCAAACAAGTAAGCATGCCCATTTAAACTTGGGGCTGCTTTGTGGAGAAGAGAGGATCTCAGCTCCTGAAAAAAAAAAGGTGTCTGCCAAAATCCTCCATGAGTCACAGTCCCTCCGGGCCTCAGTTTCCTCCTCTGTAAAATAAGTAGAATAACCTGATTTTTTCACCCACTGAGCTGCTATATTAATGCATTCTTTTTTGTAAATCCAGTAGAAAGATACAAAATGTTCTAATATTCTTGGGCTTGTTGTGCTGAGCATTTTCTATTTTGAATCCTTGTGCATTTTTAGATAGGAGGCAGAAGTGGGTCATTCCCTGGTGATCTTATTATGGAAGTCTTTCCCTTATATAAGGACCTCTAATTCTGCTGCAGCTCTTCTCCCTTACTGGTGGCAGATTTGGCCAGCACTTGTTTATCAGTATGTATTTATTTTAATATGTCACAGTGGCTTTTGCCCACGGGCTATTACCTTGAACTGTAAAATAACTTTTATTAGTATTTCAGTAAAAAAGAAGGTCCTGTCGCCAAAGACGTAATGGCAGCACAAAACATCAGGAACTCTGACCCAAGAAACCAAACCTAATTAATCAGAACCTGCAGCTCAACCCAGTTTGCTGTTCAGCAGCAGTTTTGATTAGTAGGGCTAGAGGAAAAGACGACCTTTTTCTTCAGTCCTTAAAAAGAGAAGAAAAGAAAATGCATGTATACATTTGACACAAGCCGGTACTTTTGTTTAGGCTGGGTGTCCTTGAATCACAGAACAACTTTAACGACCATTAGCCTGTCTCTCAGTGATTAAGTAAATGAACTCAAGAAAATGAACTGCTGGGTACATTCCCAAACACTGGGTAAAGTTTATTGAAACTGATCAGTTTAAACAAGCAGTAAATTGAGATTCACTTCAACCTGTACCTATTTGGCGAATACAATTAGGGAAGACACTCCCTAGCTTATGGAGAAGTGAAGCTGGCTTTCAGTACTGACTGGAAGTGAAAATCTTTAACGTGTTCGTAATTTACATTCAGTGTCAGGAATAAAAATCTAAAAGACATGGGTGTCTTCTGGAGCTCCAGAGAGCAGCATGTACATCAGCTCAGCAATCACTGCTGCTAATGTGCTGTATAAGGAATGCATATTCAAGTCAGTGCCTAATGCAGTGAGAAATAAAAATTGCAGTTGTTAACGCATCTTGAACTGAGATGAAATTTGGGCCTTGGTGGAGGGGAATAAAAGACGGGCATACTTAGAAAGCAGGAAATGTACTAAGAAGCTGTCTTACCTCCATCTAGTTCTTCAGCTCCAAAATGATTCCTGTAGAAGAGCATAATCTCTATCTTGTAACACTTGTAGATAGTCACTAAACAAACAAGCAGCAGCAGAATAGCACCAAGCCCACCAGCAAGCTCAACTGTGTACATCAGCTCTGCAAAGAATTACAAAACGCAGTAACAACCACATTCCAAACCAGAAAAAGATTAGCAGCAGATCTCGCACTTGTGTTAAACATTAAAATAAAATAATGAATGATGGGTTATTTATGTATTTATTTTGTTATAGGGCCCTTGAAGAAATACCTAATTAATAGATTTTTTTTTCCTTTAATAAAATAGTTTTTCCTCTGGTGCACCATCTGAATTGCTCATATAAAAAATAACAATTGCTGGGGATGTGTGTGTGTATGAGTATGTGCATATATAAAAGAGATATTTGATAACTTTCTTCCTTCTCTCTCTCTGTAGATAGATCACAGTTTGCTTTACACAGATAAATGTTGACATTCCACTTACAATGAAAGCAGAGGTGAATGTCTCTTTCTTGGGGACTGTAATGCAAACACAGCTCCTCCCTTATTCCACACACAAATAAGATGAGTTTCAGTCTACTGGATAAGATTACACTAAGGATTTGATTTTTTTTTCCAAAATAAAAATAAGAATAAAACAAGCAAAAACTTGAGAGATGTGAAGACAAATTATCCAAGGAACCCCACAGCTTCGCATCTCAGTTATGTGTTAATATCTTTGACCCAGTTTCCCAATGATCTGCAGTTCATCTTTATACTCCCCTTTCCCCCAGTGGGGTTGGCTTATGTGTAGCCACAGCAAACCACCCCGATTTGTCCATGTTGACATTTCTATTCAGACTGTGACCCCCTGGTGTCTTTGCTGCACTCTGCCACTGGAGACTCACAAGGTGGATTGAGATCCTCGCCATGTAACTCCGTTCTGAGGACAGGGACTCTGGTCAAATGTGGCCACAACTGTCTACAACCAGCAGTATCCTCAGTGGGGCCACTAATGAGTGCATAAGTAATATACCATCATGGACTTTCACGCCGCCAGTCTTAACCATTGCATGCTCAAGGAAGCTCACACAGTTACGTGGCATCCATTTTGTTGTTACTTTTCATTTGCTTATTGACTAAAAACTGGCAATGTTAAAAAAGAAGGGTGGGAGGAGGAAGAGCGTTACTAACAATGTTGCAATTTGACATGAGTAATAAATGGCATATCTTAAGACCATCCATACTTTTCCAATATCACTCAGTTTTGAGGAATGTCAGGAAATCAAATCTTGGAAATCCAAGATATACAGTTTGCTTCATAAAAATCTGTGCTGGAGAAAGCTCAGTTCCGTGTTACTTTCACAGTGTCCTCTTCCAGTGGGCAGCTTCTGTCTGAGTGAAGGAGGGTAGCCCTGAAGTAACCTTTTTGTGTGTGTGTGTGGTTATGTAGCTATGTTACTCCAGCATAATACAATTCAATTAGAGAAATAAAAGGTTAGAGGAAAAAGTGACAATTCCATTTATTTTGACTGCGTCTACTGAGAATCACACACCTTTTTATTATTTTGAGACAACTGTAAGAAGATTTCATTGCTCTCTAGAAGACACTAAAAGTGTAATAAAATAAAATAAAAAGGCATTTATATTCCATGTCATTCTCTCTAAAACTGTGCTGGAAATTCCTTTGTGTTAGATATTTTTAAGACCGGCATGGTTATTTCAGACTTTCAATAATTTTCTGGTCCAGAAAGGAGAATGTTATTAAAAACACCCTACAAAAAAATGTTTGCATAGACAAGTAATACAGTATTTTAGAATATAAATGGAAATGGAAATTACTCTGCACTGGCTTACTATACCCTCTTTATCATTTTGTAGTACAGGTGATGCAGCTGTTCAATGGTAACTAGAAGAAAGGCTTTAATATTTCGGGTTGCTAGGCACAAAATGCTCTATTTATGTACCTGCTGTTATGACTCATTAAAGGCAAGGCAAAACTTTACAACTGGAAAACAAAAGTTTTTCCTAAATTAACGATTTTGAGATTAAATAGAAAAAATAACTGCAGGTAGTCATCTGTTCTCTGGGCATGAAATCAGACTAATGCACTGCATCATTTTTGCCATCAGAGTCCCTCTTAGTTATCTTTTTCAACATATAATAATTCAAGATTATGCCTATATTTTTACTTCAATAAAGTCTATCTGAACACACATGAAATTGTCCTAAATTAGGCAACCAAAGCAAACAACAAAATTCTCTAAGTCACCCTGAAACTTACTAGAAATTGCCTTTTTATGTGCTGATGCCGAGCCCATCGTGATCACTTAGCACACGGATAAGGTAGTTCTTTCTTAAACAGATTTGTTTGCAAAGTAAGTTTCATGCTCTATCCATCTAGCATAGCAAGCTTGTATTTTTCTCCATGCTGGACAATGTCTATCAGCACACATTCGCTCTCTGTCTTGGGTGCTATTTGTCAGGGTCCGGAGGCAGAGAGGAGCAGTGATTAGCCTGGCAGACGGCTGCATCCTTACACCCAGCTCTGTGAACGCCTGAGCTAACCCCCAAAGTGCTGGAAGTGGGACAGCCGCATCTGTGCAGCGCCACGGAAGGTGGGACAGATTGGCCTGGGCACAACGCCACACCAAGCTGATTGCTTTCAGGCCTTGACTTAGTGTTTCTGCAGGATGCTAAATGGTGCCCCACAGGGGCACTGGCTGGCTTTGAGCTGCCGCAGAGATTTCATGAACAGCGTTACCCTGTGTTGCGCTGAACTGAAGGTGTGAGGAGCGGAAGGCTTGGTCCTGCCTCTGCTGTCAGCCCCTCGGGTGACTGAAGCCATTTCACATTTCTGTGCCTCGGTTTCCCCTATGTGAATTGGGGAGGGCGCGTCTGGCTCCTTCGTAGGAGGGGTTACTCCTGAAAGGTGCTCTGCGAATGCCAAGGGTGTTGGTGACGTGTACGTCAACAATGCCATAGTGACCGTTAAAGCTAAATTAAAGTGTAACAGCAAGATTAGAGTGTAAGGCTATCTTCACAATAACAATTTTTTCTACTGCTTTATTCTGCCTTTTGCATTGCGATTTGAGCACAGTTGCTGCAGCAGGAATTACACTCCCTTTGAAGAGTGATCTGTTTTTCCTGCTGAAATTCAAGTTTCCTGTAGTGGCTCCACGCTAAAAAGATTCAATTTCAGCACAATTCCACATCAGAGGGGAGAGACAAAAAGTGCAAACCTTTTAAAACCTATTTAGTCTCTGTGTTATGTTGCTCAAATTACAGACCTGGCCCTCCTTAAGGAGCTGAGGCTGAATGTAGAAAATAGTAGAGGAAAATTACTCGGCTAACCCTTAGGGGACAGGCATTCTGTTAAACATAACAAATGAGCGAGTGCCAGGGAGTTACATCCAGAAGCGCAGCAATCATTTAGTTACAGGCAATTAAAAATAGTCCTCGAGTAGCACAGGAACAGTTCTACTCCAAGGGAAAATACATTGATTACTGCTGCAGTAGTAGATTGGTTTCTGAATAAATAGCTTCAATTTAAAACAAGATTTGTTACAAGCATTTTGACCAATGGCAACAATTTTTTTTCCTTATCAGGAAGCTTTGGCCAAGCAACCCAGTGAAAGAGACGGCTAATTAAAACAAAGTACGCATCCTCTCCAAATATCTGGCACAATATGGCTGGTAATAAACACACTCGTTTTATACTGATTCTATCCTAATTATTAGGCATATTTGTAGGATATGTCTTTGATCTTCACCTGGCTTTAATATTTGATAAACTTCCTTTTGTTGTGTCATGCAGGTAAGTCACTTATTGTAGCTGGAGTTGTAACAAGAAAGTAAATAAAAGGGTGCCTTCAACGATTCATATCTTTTGACTTATATGACATGCTTCAGGGACTTTACATTTAATGATCTGTGATAATTTAAAATTAATCTTATTCTATTCATTAGTCCACATACAGCTGAGCTACTAAGAAAAATTATATTTCAAACATTCTTTTTTTGTGATTCATAACTCTTCGAGGACATGTGATTTATAGCTGTGTATTCAATTTCGGAGCCTTTTTCAAAATCCAATTACAGTCTATCTAAGGTTTCAATTTTGCAATCGCTTACGCAGATTGCTTAACTTCATGGACTATAAGTAATCCCTCTGAAGTCAACAGGACTATTCACAGAGCTTCAGGTTAGCACATACATAAATCTTTGCAACTTTGTGGCCTAAACTCATTTCCATTCTCTGCTTGTCTTGGACGATTTAACTCAGAAAACTACAAGGTTTGGTTAGAGACAGTTCCCAGTTTGTCTAGGTATACTTTCACAGACTTCAATTGTTAAATGAAACATAAAGGTAATGAATATAATTTGGAAGGGGAGCGGTTGAAGACAATACTAAAGGTCTCGTGATGACACCTGAGAGAAGGTAAAGAAGGCAAATACTGACAACCAACGCAAGACTGATGCGCCATAACATGAAGCTTTGGTTATAAACAGGTGTGTTTCTTCTAAAGGAAGAAGGAGGCTGGCTAACACAGGAATACTTGTCTGAGTGTCATTTCAGACATCAGCAGCAAACAGTAGGCAGGGCTTAGGTTAGAAAGAAAGAAACAAACCCGTACTCACAGTATAAAAAAGGAGAAGTATGTGCTTTTTTCCTCTTTTTTTCCCCCTGCTTAATACAGTATTCATTATGGCATGGCTGTAAAACAATTTATCTTTCTGAAGTATAACATATGGAACCACAGCTTTATACAGCATATGCATATCCAATATGCATATATATATATATCTCTATAAAAATAAAATCTATTCTCTACTTTTTAGGATTTTTTGTTTGTTTGTTTCAACATGCCAAACAAAATCTGTTTGTATTTAAGGTACCTAGGTGGCCTTATGGGTACTGTTGTGAATAATTACTTATGGATACTGTAGGACGATAATACTTCTGATACCAGTAGAAACAGATTTGGGATGTTCATTAGCTTGATTATGAAATCATTTCTTAGCACAAAGTATATGCTTTCTGCCAGCATAGGCCACGCATGCCTGTAGAAGTCTGCAGAGTTGACTTAAGGTGGCTAAATTTAGTTACAGTTTTTAATATGGTTTCCAATGCAGCAGTT